CCTTGTTTGCTCTTTTCTTCTGTATTCATACAGCTGATGAGTATTTATACTTGATTGATATCTGAACTTTTGGCACAAATTTAGCTTCAAAATAATTTGGACAGATTTGTGACCTATTTATGGTTGAATTCAGATTCTTAGTCGGATATCAGTCCTGGGATCTGCATTTTTGGCAATTCTGGCTGCTGGTCCTGCTCTGTATTCATACAGCTGATGAGTATTTTTGTCACGCCCCTAACTTGCCCCTGAAAGTTTGGGCATGACTTAAACAGAAAAGGACACTTAACTTAGTTCCATAGGGGCCTGCCCGGAAGCTATAAAACATAATTGATAAAACTAGAAAATGTGACATCCATTGAGCTACTATATCATGCCAGGATCAAAAACATACCACAGGACAAGTACATTAGAAGCCAAAATATATTTAAGAGTTAGTTAATTACAGGCATATACAATACCAACCCCGAGGTGGGGTATATAACAAAATCATTAAGTACATAACAACTTAAGTTACTAGCAAAAGTGTGAGTCATCATCTAACAACTTCCACAAAAGTAGGGTTCGACCCCAAGCTTGGCTGTGCCTAGGCTGACAAAAGTATGACGATGCCGAGCTAAGATCGACCTCCTGGTTGATTACCTACAGAAACAGACATAACATAGGGTGAGCCAAGCTCAGTGAACAATAGTACTAGTATGCTTGTAAACATATATAATGCTGACATCATGTAATTAGTCTGTCTCTGTACAGCTTGTTGGGACAACATAATCGGTTTATAATTGTCATAGTATGGCCCCTGGCCTAAGAACTTCACATATTCAGAAAAGAGTCCTTGGGTTCGTAATTACAATTCATCACATAGATCTTCGGTTCTTTTTGTTTCACAAGCTTACAACAGTGTAAGTTCATATTTCACACATCGGTCCTTGACCTCATAAATTCCTCATTCACAACGGCCCTTGGCCACATTGTTCACAATTTACAAATGACCCTTGGTCGCGTAGTTTCACATTAGGGCTCTTAGCCACATTAGCTCACAAATGGCTCTAAGCCGCATTGATTCACAAATGGTACTAAGCCACATTGATTCACAAATGGCACTAAGCCACATTGATTCACAAATGGCACTAAGCCACATTGATTCACAAATTCATACTTGCCTTATTACATTCCATTAGTCACAAGTTTTCAAATAAGATGTGTACCACTTCACAACCTTTTTCAATGTTTTCACCATTTCGTATCAAATCACTTATGGCAAATACATCATTTCATATCAATCATTTCATGCCAACACAAGTTTAATAGTGAAATTCGCAACGTCAAGATATAACATCAATATAATACGATAATACTTCCTACAAGGTCACAACGTCATGAATAATACATGCTGAGTAGGGATACATTGAAGTACTATTACTCACTGTGTTGTGGCGGTGCACTTCCTTTTGAGGTGTTTCCTACACACATGAAAATCACATTAGTCCTTTTTCATCCTTGTTAAATCAATATTCGGTTCACTTACTTTGATTAAATTAACGAACATTCAAACAATATAAATTGCAGGTTTTGACAACATTAGAGGACCCAACACGCAAAACAGAGCATCCCAACTTTTCTGCCTTGAGCCGCACGTGCGGCTAGGATCTCCCGCACGTGCGGCATTGAGGCCCCGCACGTGCTTTTTTTGCAGTGTTGAAGGCCAGACTTTTGCCATTTTCCCGCATGTGCGGCAGTGACTCCCGCACGTGCGGCCCTAGGCCCCGCACGTGCGGCGATTCTGCACTAAAAGTCTGAAATTTTTGCATCATTCCATCCCCTAGTAGACATGTTTAGGGCCTAAAAAATCTAGCTTTAAATTACCAATATATAAGCTCAAGCTAGGATCTCCCGCACGTGCGGTACACCTCCCACACGTGCGGCATTGACTCCCGCACGTGCGGTTGAGGTTCCCGCACGTGCGGCCCTAGGCCCCGCACGTGCGGCGATTCTGCACTAAAAGTCCGAAATTTTTGCATCATTCCATCCTCTAGTAGACATGTTTAGGGCCTCAAAAATCTAGCTTTAAATTACCAATATATAAGCTCAAGCATGTAAATACATGTGAACAAGGGTCAAATTACATCTTTCATTTGAGTAAAAACAAATCAAATCATAAATCCACAACTTAAATTTTTACTCCAATTCACAAGACTCCTACTTGTTCTCAAATCTCAATTCATAACATAAAATTATATCACATACTTGAATTCAAGCAAGTCAATTGAAGACATAGAGTGAGGTTTCTCTTAGGGACTTCAAATTGAATCAAAATATGCATGGTAGGGTCATTTTATTCATTTACTACTCAAACTTACAACACCACAATTCCAACTCTTAGGAATAAGATCATAGAAACATCTTCACATAAATTATGACAAGAAGGGTTATAGATGGACATTAGACAAACATTTACATACCTTAAGCCCAATCTTGACCTTCTTGAGGACTTCTCTCTCTATCCCTTCACTTCTCAAATCTAAAGTTATGTTATGAGTTCCTTGGTTTGTCAAATGGCTAAGGTCATATATATATATATATATCCTTATGGAGAGAATGAGACGAAAATCAATCGTTTACACATTTGAAAATTGAAATTTCACAAAAGTGCTTAATATTACCTAAAAATTATGCTGGTTCTAAATATATGATCAATTTTGGCTTATTGAGCCGCTAAGGCCTTCAATTCCTACTTTATCGTTCTAGTAATAACAGATACAGTTCTTTCTTAACAGATACAATTCATTTCATAAGGCATCACAACATAGTTACTTGAACTTATTCCCTTGGACAATTTCAGTTTAGACATTTAACAGCACAGAATAAAGGACGAGCATATATCGCAAGCATATATGAGGGTCGGGTTGTTACAAACATAAAGCCCAATTGGGATCCCAACATGATCCTAAACAATAACAATATACAAATAGCTATGATCATGAATGTTCATCGTTATATCATATACATAAGTGACGATTTATACTGAAAATAAACTTGTACCAATACTCTAATCAAAATCATTCAATTTATTAAGCAACATAAACAATTCCACTTCACTTTCTCATTTCTTGCTTATAATTAACGCGTCACAACTAGTTACTTTAGAATATGTTCACAATACCCGATTACTTCTCATTATTTACACCCAATACAAAACATACATTCACTTCTGATACATTCATCGCCATCCTTGGACCCTATGCCAATCGTCAAGAACACTTTCAATAACTCGTCCAATATGCCTATGTACATACTATAGACACCCCATTTTTGACCTACCTCAAGACTTAGATGTCATTGTTTGTGCACTCGATGATTGTGCTTGTTTTGAGCACCCGAAGTTCTCGGCGGAACGCCTTGTCTTTGAGCCTCTAAACCCTTTTTGCTTTGTGCTTGTTTTTGGACCAAACCTTGGTGCCTTTTGCCTGGAAGGAGGAGGGGCCTTGTCAGCCACTTTTTCTCTTTGTCGACCACTTGAAGTGGTTGGTCGGCTAGGTGAGGTGGTCGGTCGGCCACTTAAAGTGGCCAACGGCCATTTTTCTCATTTTTCAGATATTTTCTTTACCAGTTGTGCCAGCTATTGTTCACTGAAGGCCATCTCCATACACGTGTATGGAGGGATGAATGTAAGTCTTTGGCTTGATTTTCTATATAATGTGGGGTCTCTCCCCCATTTGCAGAGGTTAGACAATTTTGAGCAAATTTCTCACCCTCTCTCTAGAATTCTCTCTCTCGTCTTATTTTGTGCTTGATAGTATGAATTCTCTACACGTTTGCACTAAGACCCTTAACCAAACATCTTCATCTTGGAGCTGAGGTTCTTTGAGGCTTAGTTTGAGCTCCTAAGGCTGGTTTTAGCTCAGAATTGTGACTGATTTTGTGTTGTGCTTGAAGAGGTAAAGGACTTGCCTTGTAGAGTTTGTTTTAATCAATTGATGGGCTATCTTTTTACACTGTTTTGACCTGGTTTTTCAGCTATAAAGAACTCTGTTTTTAAGGTTTAAAAATGGTAGTTTAGGTCTTGGTGGGTTAGGGGGTTGTCTCCCCCTTTTTGCTCTTTGGCTTGTGAAGCCTTTTGTGCCTTTTCTTACCACCTTTAAATCAAACTTTTTGGCCCTTTTAAACACCAAAATCCAGAGTCATTTCATTGGTAAAAATCAACTTTTGAAGTCCAAAATAGGAGGGGTTAGCCTCCCCTCCTTGTGTCTTGCTTCCATGCCTAGGTTGCTTCACATGTTAGCTCAATTTTCTAGCTTAACTTAGCTTAATTCAAGCATGTTTTAGGCTCTATTTTGGCATGTTTCAGCTCTGTTTTGGGTTGGTTGGTGCACTTGAGGTTGGCTTTTTGTACTTGTAGTGCAATTGTGCTTACTAGTCTAACATGCCTAATGAGTTAGCCTATTATTCTAGCTTAGGTTAGCTTAACTCTAGCTTGTTTTAGCTACTATTTTGACATGTTTAAGCTCTATTTTGAGCCGGTTTGATCACTCGAGCTTTGCTTTGTATGCTTGTAGTGTAATTGTGCTAAATTGCCTAACATGTGCTATTGTTTTGGCCTCTAAGTCTAGCCATTCTTAGCTTATTTCAAGCATGTTTTAGAACTCCATTTGGGCTGGCTGCCTTAGTCATATGACTCATGTTTTGTATAGTTATAGTGCAATAGCCTTGACTAGCTTTGAGTTTTGAGGCATTTTGCATGCTTGGCTTGAGGTATTTGCATGTTTTGGCATCATTTGGCATGTTATTTCAGAGCATATAGTGTTGTCACACTTCCATGTTTTTCACTCTTTAAGTGCTCTTGAGAGTTGTACCTTATGCCATGTTTGTGGGTCAATGCATGAGCATGCATTTCTTGCCTTTCATGCTATCATTTCAGCTCTTTATGGCCATTGTTTTGGCATGTTTGAGATTGCTCCACATCCGGCATCAATTAATAATATTTTTCAAGGCATTAGTAGAAAATAAAAGTGACATGGGTAAGCCCATAAAGGAAATGGCCCACCCCTTAAGGCCCAATCCATGATTCAAATACTAAAGCCCAACATCCCTAAAACCTAACGTTACGCCAAGTACTAATGACATCTAAACACTTGGCAAGTAAAGAGCCAGCCACATTAGCAGACAAAGATCCTGCAGAGTTATTGCACCACACATCAGCTATTAATGAGCTTCCCTGCAGCATTTATTATGATAACCCTTCAAGTCGGAACATAACAGCCTCACCATGAACAAGGCAAGCTAGAACATAGACTTTCGGCCAACGTGACAGCCCAGAGTGGACAAGGAATGATGAGCAAAGGATATAAGCAAGCTCCTAAGACGAAGAAACGGTTAAGTTTTCTATCTCCATCCACTCTCCATATCTCCATCCCTCTCACCTCTTTAACTTGCTCGTCGGAGGGTTCGTTGGGAGACTCCCCGTTCCTCATTGAACTCCTTTGCAGGCTTTTCGGTGGGCCCAACAATCAAATAACGGCTTGAGAAGCGTGGACCAATCTGACCCAGCCCATCTGTGGCTAGTAGCATCATCAGTTGGCGCCGTCCGTGGGAACCCTTTTTGCTCTGTGCGGCAACTGTGCTCATTATCGCCGGGGACCCATTCTTGATAATCCCTACCTGCCACCCACCAAGGTGGATGTTCACAACTAGATCCATGGCTTCTCAACACAACGTTGCCGATCCCCAAGCCAACCCTCCTAACCCAAACAACCCACCACAGTATTTCACAGAACTCACCAACAGCATTAACTGCCTAGCCGAGCAAAACCAAGCCCTGATCAATGCTTTGCTTCAAAGAGACCTTTCCATAACTCCTCTACCACCTCAAGACATCCCACCTAACCAAGAACGAACCCCGAGCCATCCCATCCAACAATCCCACCCATCCAACTTGGAGGGCTTACGACCCCCTCCTCAAGATATGAACCCGCCACCTCGAGCCCCATATCTACCGATCCAAGCACTTGCCCCCGAGGGGGAGGCCAACAGTGTCCAACCTCCGTTGCATTCCGGTGGTGATTGTAGACGTCCTCCGAACGCCCCGGGAGGGTGAGCTCCCGTTCCGTTCATTTGTGGGGTTTACTACAGTTCGGACTCGATT